AAAAAACAGATGAGATAAACTATTCATGGAAAGGGCAGTCTTCTTCCTTATCTCTGTTCTTTAAAAGGTCGGGGGATTATGCCATGGAGAGAATTAATCAAGAGAAACAGCACAGGTTCGACTCAGGTCCTGTGGGTTTCCTCTAACAGTGCCCTTGCTTGGGTCGCCTATCCCTGTCCCACCCACTTACTGCTTTCTTTCCCACCCTGTGCTTTGTAATAAGAAAACAATTAAGCCTTAGTAATGAACCCTCTAATTCAATTAGTTACTATTATGATTTGAGTACTTTCTATATAGTGTGCTTAGAATACATCAAGCCATTGAAAATTTGCTGTGGATCTATGTAGTCCCTGTGTGGAAGATGTTCACAGTCTGGAGGCAATAACAGCTATGAACACAAGAAATCATACCATAAAAAGAAATCTAAATACGATGGCTTCATCAGCAGTAGCCCAGCAGTAGCATCGTGGATGGGACACTAGTAAACAATTTAAACATCAAAACAAAGATTTAAAATTTACTTATTTTAATTCTTTGATAATTGCGTACATACATATACCATATTTTAATCATATGAAAACCCCTGTTTCTCCACCTAACTTCTCCCAGATCCATCCAGTAACCGCCTAACCCTCTCCCAACTTTATGTATTTTGTTTATTTATAACCTACTAAGTCCAGTTTGTGGTGCCCACGTAGGCGCAGGTGTGGACCACCCACTGGAGCATGGTCAACCTACTAGGTCCACATCCCTAAAGGAAACAGACTCTTCCCTCCCTTGCAGTCATCAACAGTCGATACACTGAGCTACAGTGCAGGCTCAGGAGCCCTCCCGTCCCTGCTGGAGGCTGATTGGCTTGATCTCATTAAGGACTTGCACAGGCTGCTCTGAATTCATGGGCACAGCAGTTGTGTCAAGTCCAGAAGGGACTGTTGGGCCCTCTGAGCTCTGACTCTGACAGTCTTTTCTGCTCCTTATTCAGGACATCATCTGAGCCTTGGGGGAGGGGTGTGATGCAAATGTCCTATTTATGGCTGAGCACTCCATAAACGCTCATTAATTTCTGTATTAGCCACTGTTCATGGTCACAAAGAAGCTTCTTTGATGAGGACTTAGAGCTGTACTAATCTATGAATACAGAGGTAGGTATTTAGAAAGCAATTTGATACTACATCTGTTTAGCAAAATAATACTAGTAGCTTTAGCTCTAGGGCCTACGAGCGCCACAGTCCTGACTTCCTGACCAGATTGACAGTACCAGGCACATGTTTCCTCCTGAGAACAGTCTTAAATCCAGTCAGAAAGTAGCTGGCTGTCCCTGTAACATCCACGCCACTGTTGCACCCATGGCAGAGTTCACAGGTGGGTGAGACTGTTGATGGCTTTTCTCCTCCAGCTGTCTGTATAGCACCTTCTAGCACTTAAACCTCCCTCCCTAGTATCTCCCTTTACCCCTTCATATCACCTGTGTTCTACTATCTCCCCCATGTCCCCCTCACCCCATACATAGGATATATATGCCTGTGTCAGTAATCCTTCCTAAGGATTTGTTAAGTCTGGGGATCCCAGTAAAAGGAATCAAGAAAATTCAGAGGAAAACAAAGTATTCTAATTTGTTCATGTTTAACATTCATCATGTATGTGAACAGAAAAGTGTATGTTCAGTAGACACAGAGTTAAGAATTAGAATTATTCAGGATAGCAGTAATATAATTATAATTTGTTAGGTATAAAAACAATATATGTTGAAAATTCCCTCAAGAATATATTTCCATATAGCTCATATTTATAATGACTTAATAGTAGTTCAATTAGGTCTGTGATTTCTCTTTGGGATATAGAAGAGGGCTGAAGACACAGGCCATAATTATCTAAACTGGATCCATTACAGGAATCAAATAGAACACACATAAACATGGAGAGTTTATTTTAAATAAATCAAATATCCTGATGTTGAAGCCACAAATTATGAAATTGTACTTGGTTTTCAACCTAACACCAGAACGTCAAAGTGGATCCACAATTGACTGAACCGCTTTCTGCAGCCACAGTTTGTGCTGTGCCAGGCCACACATTCAGACAAGCACATCAGCCTGTACTGATGGCTGATGTAATCTGTGGTCAATGGACTGAGCATTGCAGGGACCCTGCCATCTCCTCAGACAGGGCTTCAGGATAGAGTGTTCAAATCAGGTCAAGTACTGAGAACTGAGCGTTTTGGTGTGTAATTGAGGTTTGTTATTGGTCATCTTATCAGAATAAAATAACATGTGGGTTATGGGGCTATTTTAAAAATATGCAGAAAAGTAGAAGGATAAAAAAAACCTATAAGAATGTGAAAATTTCTTTGAAACAGCATATGTAGTAGCTATGTTTTTCCATATGGCTTTTCCCCTTCGGTGCCCTTGGACACATTAAGTGCAGGCCACAGTGTCCTCACACATTCTCAGACCCCCCCTCTTCTCAGGTTGGTTGTCGGCAGCAATTTAGTACTAGAAAGGTAGGTCAAGCATCAAGCACACCTTCAGAGCAAGGAGAATCTGAGATGCTGAGGTCCAGTTCTCCCTGCCCTCTACTGGTGATTGGCCTTTTAGTTAGTTGTTTTCCCTGAATCTGAGTTTAAAATTCTATAAAATCAGGATAAATATTCTACTGCTTCAGAGTATTGGGTTGATGTGGCATGTGGCGGGCGGGGGAGAGAATGGAAAGAAAGAAAGAATAGAAAGAATTTACCGAATCTGCCACTTGCCTCCTTGGTCCCACTGAAGGGTTGGCTATCTTCTCTGGCCTCGTAACTGTTACCAACACCCTTATCAACATCTGCACTCCTGAGGCTCCTGGGCAGCTACTACAGACTAAGGGCCCTTCGTATTGCCCTGTTATTTTTAAGCACCACCGTATCTGTATGCAATAATGCTTTCCACTCTCCAGCAAATGAAGCTGATGGGGCAGTGGTGTGATACAGGCATTCAGAAAGGCACAGTCATCTTCCACATTCTAAGGTGCTTAGATGCAGCTTTATTGCTTGGACTTTCAGGAGAGATATGCTGTGTCTTCCAGAATGTACATGAAACAGTAAAAGTGTGATCTGCTTTAGACCATTTTAATGTGATCGGTATACTGAAGGGTCCAAGTTTGGAGAATAAACTTCCAAAAAAATAACAAAGCCCTGTTATCGTTGCAACCCGTAGACTATAGTTTTTAGCTTTTCACTAATTCAAACAGTGAGATTCTTGAAGTTACTTCCTAAAAGTTATGGAGAATGGAGGCTGGAGAGGTGGCTTAGAAGGTAAGAGCACTGACTGCTCTTGCAGAGGACCTGCATTTGAATTCCGAGCAACCACATAGAGGCTAAAAACCATCTGTAACTCCAGCTCCAGAGGATCCTGTGCCCTCTTCTGGGCTCTGTGGTCATTGCATGCAGTGCACTTACATATACACAGGCAAAACACTCATACATATAAAATAAAAATAAATAAAGTACTTATTTAAAGATACAGAGAATGGGAAAAAAGACTATGCCTTTCACATTATAATATATTCTAGAGTGAGCAGCACATGGCTCTGTGAGTTTATCTGATCACAGAAATAGCTCTTAATTGTGGTATGCAGAATATGGTGTAAATCCATGTACATTCATAGCATGCTACACCGTTTAAGTTTTATTTTAGTGCTATAGTCTGAATAGGAAATGCTCCCACAGGCTCACATGTTGAACACTTGGTTCCCAGCTAGTGGTGCTGTATGGGAGGTTGTGCAGCTTTTGAGAGGTGGGTCATCACTAGAAAAAAAATGGGTTACTGAGAGGTGGACCTTGAGGTATACAGCCAGATCTAGCTCCCTGTCCAGTCCTGCCTCCCGCTCCCCTGAGTTGGGCGCGACAGGCTGTTGCCCCATCACTGCAGAGCTGCCCACCACCATGGGCCATGCCCTTCAAACCAGGGGCTGGAGTAAAGTTCTCCTCCTCTCAGTTTTCTCTTGTCAGGTATTTGGCCACAGTGACAAAAAAAGTTACTAATGCATACAATGTGCTACTCAGGACAATTGTTCTTCCTAACAATGGAAGATTCTGTTAGCTGTGCTTTTTTAAAACATTTTGAGACTACTTAAATGCCTTTAAGTACCTAGAATATAAAATAATTCACTATCTAGTACTGATGTGATGTTGTTTTTCAAGGTAACATTATTAGTATTTTTATTACATCTCTTTATCTTGTTTTTTTTATTTTATGTGCATGCATGTATTGCCTGCATGTGTGTGAGTGCACCTGTGTCATGCAATGCCACGGAGATGAGAAGAGGGCGTCACATTCCCCTGGAACTGGAGTTAGGATGGTTCATAGACACCATGTGGGTGCTGGGAATTGAACCTCGGTCCTCTTACTTTTTAAAAGCCCTGAGTCGAAAGATTTAATGATAGATCTTTTGAATTAGATCAACAGAAAACCATACACTTTGTTCAGAAAAGCCATAATGCTATTCTACTATCTTGTGTGCTACTTTATATTTTTAACTAAAATAGATAGAATAAATGTTCTGTTGTGTAACTTAATAAAATAGCATGAGGGCTATAGCATATTTTTTAAATATGCAGAAAACCCTGAAACAATACATAAATCATTTCGAAATAACTTAGGGGGCAGCTGTGCTCGTCTACATGGCATTTTTTTTTTAGCTTATTTATTGGCATTTCTTGACCTTTACCTTTGGGTAGGAGTTTGGCTCTTGCTGGATCATAATGACAACATAAGCATTTGTAGTGTTATTATTTTAATGATTAACTTAAACGTTGCATGTGTAATGTGCATGATCTCACACACCAAACCCTTGATAAAATGCTTCTGTTCTTCTTATGTCACTAAGAACAAGAGAAATCAGTTTTTCAGAAAGAAACATTTGTCTTCAAGGTCAGCATAACTCCTTTTTCTCCAAGCGGACTGATTGGGCAGTAGTAGCGGCTGACCGGTGAGTGACGCGCACACGTTTCGTTTGCTTTCCAGGTGTGTCCACGCTGTCTTCAAGTCTGTTCAGCTTGCTGCTGCCTGCCCTTGGCTTCCTCCTCTTCTTGGAAATATGAATATTGTGTGATGTCCGCGTTCCCAGCCCAGCTCAGAGGACGTCCTTCATCCTGGGATGACTGTAATTCCTTCTTAACCCTGTGGCTCCATCCTAAACCAAATAAATTGGACTTTAACCAACTATCCAACTGATTTCCAACACAGTATGACTGAGGCATTCAGGAACCCCTTCATCCAAAAGAATAACTTTTAAATGGATATAAAGTGATTTTTAACTCGTTCCAATATGCCTTATAAACCACTTAACCTGATTCTGTGAAAGTTGCATGATTTAATTCAATGGGACAAGTTACGGTGTTCAATTCAATACCATAGGCTGTAGAGTGAGAGTTAAATCACCATACACAGGTGCTTTACATTTAATAAAAAGTTTTGAGATATAATAGGGGTTGAAATGTTGGTCGTATGTGGTACGTGTAAGAGTAATGCAGTCTATTGTATTAACCTCTCTGTTTTGGGTCCTGCATATTTTTGAAAGGCCCTTATCATTCATGACATTTTGAGTTTTCCTGAAAAATAATACAGACGGAAACAGAAACATTTTGACACAAACTCATTACCAAATCACTTTTCTGAATGAGTTGAAAGATTTTGAATATGAAAACCAGATTATCGAACTCATTCTCAGTGTTCTTACTTTTGAAGTAATGTTTTACATGTTTGGTTTTCGGAATCACTGATCCTTTCCAGTTAGTTTTCTAATGCTGAAGTTCACACACCATATGAGGATCTTTTTACTTTTGTATTCTCTGAAGTTGCTTTGTGCTTTGTCGTCATCCGTGTCAAACCTCAGACCGCACAGCTCACCTGGTGTCATCCCATCTCTGTATTTATTCGTATATGGAATGATGAGTTTTGAGAATTAGAGTGCTTCCATTTTTTTGCGATGTGACAGTCTTTATATGGTTAGAAACAAATGACAGTTAAATATCAGAATGACCTAATCATGTTCTACTATCTTTGGTTCTGTGCTTTATGCCTAAGGACAAGCTCTCTTGATAGGAGGTATGGAATCAAGAAATCACATAGAGGTTGGAAAAGCTACAGAATTACTTTTTTTTTTTTTAAAAAAAAAAAACAAAAACAAACCTTTAAATCTCATTTCCCACTTCAATGCAATACTGAAAACTGGCTAAAAATACCAAATCAGAATGTGGCTGGTGGACTTGTGAAGAATATGCAAAGCCTTGGAAGGCCAGGGGGGCAAACCACGCTCCTGTTCAAGATCATCTCCCCAAGTGTCGGTGCTTAGGGATTTATAAATCATGAAAAGGAAAACATGCATTTCTTCGTTCTCCATGGTGTGGATGTGCCTAGGTGTGGATGTGAAGGAACTCGGGTACTGAAGAATTAGCCAGCTCGTGAAATAGTGCAATGTTGGATGCTTTGAGAAGCATAATCCTATTTTATTAGCACAGTCTCGCTGGCTAATTAGAGATAGAGTTTTATCTTTTTAGAAAGGATACCTTATAAGTTCATAAAAAGTATTTACAGGAAGCAAAAATAAATTTATTAATACTTTACCCCCTATCTTTAATTTGTATAATTTTTGTACTATATGTGTAAATGTTTAAAGTCTTCATTATTAAAATATCAATAAATATTTCATTAATTTACACTTAACGCTTTGTTATAAATATAAAATTCTTAAAAATCAGTAAAGCAGATGCTTTCCCAGTGGAAGTATGTCAGCAGTCTTAAGGTCATTGCCAGATTTCATAAAATATTTGATTATTTGAAAAGGAAGCAAAATGACTTCATACTTTAGGGAAATGAATACTCTGTAAGCTTTCTGTACAAATGTTTGTGTTTTCACTGTTACACTTTGGGGTTTTCCTCTTGTAGTGTGACCCATGTTGGGCATTTTTATATCAAGAACAACTACATCTTTTGCCAAATGCATGCCTGCCTTTTATTTCCTAGTGTATGGTATTAAAGACCAAACCTGGCTAGATTTTGCGTGAAATGGTTCTGAAAGGTAAGCAGGAAACAGACTGAAGGTTGTTTTGTTTTGAATATGTGGCAGATAGACTCAAATCTCTCATGCACTAATGACATACACTTTTCATTTTCTTATACAATTGTACAAATGTGACTGGGACCATCAGTTTTAAACTGTCGTCAAACTAACCAATGTATCATATGCTTTAAGATGCAAGATTCTTAATTAAACTTTATATAGATATAGACACATCTGTTGTTTCTTGGTATTTCAGGAAAGGTGATAGTACTTTTATTTGATACTGATAAATAATGAATTGATTTTTTTAGTTCTTTTTTATCATTTTTTCAATGGAGTAGTATAGGACTGTGGTTTGTCCTTTTTATGAATGAATACAAATTATAAAGAAATAAATGTCTTACTGTTGCCCAAAAAAGTAACTGTCCTTTCAATTTACCTGAAGTTTAAATTGTTCTTAGAAAGTGTTCATTATAAGTTTGGTAACATGGAGTAGATACTACTGGTTAAGTAAAGGTTTGATGTTGAAAGAATGTTTAAAAAAAAAAACTACATACAGGGTAGGAGAGATGGCTCAGTAGTTAAGAGTGTGTACTGCTCTTGCAGATGGCCACCTGTAGCTCTGGTTACAGGGGATCAGATGCCCTCTTCTGGCCTCTTCAGGCACCTGCATGCACATGGCACACATACAGAGGCTTATGCACATACACATAAATAAAAAATACATAAATCTTAAAAAGCAAGCCAAAAAACTATGCAGAC